TTCAGTACAGTCTCAAGGGATATTAACCACCATTTTGTGCACTGTTGATAATCGTCTTCAGGTAAGCCAGGTGAGGGCACTTTAGCTTCTCTAGTTAAGGTAATAATAAATTATCTTACGAGGTTATGGGGATGATACTGGCTAAGTGTGTGTGTGTGTGTGTGTGTGTGTAATAATAATATAATTAACGGTTTATTGAAAGGAAGCAGCCTGAAGGCTGAAAATATACAGTTACATATTTGGAATGGGTTACAATTACAAATAATATACAAGTGACATAAGTGACACAAATAAGACATATAGTAATAGATGGGGATCAGCTCAAACTACAGTTCATTTCAACATAGTGACAGTGTAAGGAGCAGTGTTTACTGGGAGTGAATACACTGATTTATTACATGTTATTGATAATTTACAATGGTTGGGATTGGGCTGTTCTTATAGCGATCAGTTCGTGCACGTAGGGCTGGATGCGGTTGTGGTGTCGAACAGCAATTCTCGGACAAGGGATCTCAGGTGGTAGTGGGGCCGGTGTCAGGGGTGGTGTGGAAGCTCACCAAATTTGCAGATGAGGCCGTGGTGATGGTCAGTGAGAGTCGAAAGGGTCAGTGTGTTGGCTTCTGATATGTGGAGTAGGAAGGGGGCGAGAATCTTGCATGCCCTCTTTTACTTTTTCTAGGTGTTTACGTTGTGTGTGTGTGTGTGTGATCTTTCCTTCTTCTTATTATTCTTGATTCTTCTTCTTCCTCTTCTTCTTTACTTAAATTTCGTGTCATTTCTTTTATTTTTGAATCTTCCTCCTCCTCCTACTACTACCACTACTACCACCACCACCACCACCTACTAGCCCTTCTACCACCATCACCAGCCGCCCCCCATGACAGAAATACTATCCTAACTTAAAACCCTCGAATCAAATCTCCACCTACACCCTACCTCCTCCTGACCCTCCCTTCCCACCCTGACGCTGACCTCTTGGCCTCCACCACGGTCCCTCCCTCTCCCCTCTCTGCTAGCCCCAAGACCTCAAGCGTGGTGGGCTGGGTGAACCTTTTGTAATTTTACAATCCACAGTCTTATAGTATACGTGTGTGTGTGTGTGTGTGTGTGTGTGTGTGTGTGTGTGTGTGTGTGTGTGTGTGTGTGTGTGGAGCCCTCAGCGTGGACCATCTGACTGAAGACGAGATACATAGATAGATAGAAGAGATAGATAGATAGATAGATGAGAGATAGATAGATGGAAGGACAAATATTCCGTAAAATCATTATACTGTACATGTTTACATTAATTCAACACATATACATAGACAATGCAGGTATACAAACAATGCACAGGTATACAAAAGATGCACAGGTATACAAACAATGCACAGGTATACAAAAGATGCACAGGTATAGAGACAATACACAGGTATACACACAATGCACAGGTATACAAACAGTGCACAGGTAAACAAACAATGCACAGGTATACAAACAATGCACAGGTATACAAAAGATGCACAGGTATACAAACAATGCACAGGTATACAAAAGATGCACAGGTATAGAGACAATACACAGGTATACACACAATGCACAGGTATACAAACAGTGCACAGGTAAACAAACAATGCACAGGTAAATAAACAATGCACAGGTATAAACACAATGCACAGGTAAACAAACAATGCACAGGTATACAAACAATGCACAGGTATAAACACAATGCACAGGTAAACAAACAATGCACAGGTATACAAACAATGCACAGGTATACACACAATGCACAGGTATAAACACAATGCACAGGTAAACAAACAATGCACGGGTATATACACAACAAAGTTCAAGGGATTTTTAGATGTCTTTAGAGGATAAGATTTAGTTTTTTCCTTAGTTTTTTTTCCCAGTTTAGTTCAGTTAGTCCTTGGAGCACCTGAAGAAAACGAGACGTAGGGGGGGGGGGACTCGGGTAACAAGCTGAGTCCAGATGCTTGAGGGGTAGGGGAGAGGAGGGGAGAGGAGGAGTCAGGTTGGGGAGGGAGGAGGAGGCCAGATACCACCAGATCCTTGGGTAACAAATGCAAATTTAACCATTATTATTGTTTCTTTTTTGGAGGGGGGGGTCAAGAAAACTTTATGGTTCATGAGTGAGTTTAGGAATTTTTAATTTACTAGTTAAGGAAGTTAATATAATAACCTGGGATTATAAGTTAAATATCGCATATTATATATATAAACATAAATTGGTGGAGGTGTAGAGAAGGGATGGGGTGGATGGGAGGGGTGGTGTGGGGGGATAATGGTAGTAGGAGAGAGGGAGGAGAGAAAGGGGTGGACAGAATGTAGAAGAGGGCGGAGAGCAGGTAGTTACATGACTGTACACACTGGTTGTTGTAGTAGTGTAGGTGGGGGGAGAGGGGTGGGGGTGGGGGGAATATGGCGTCTTCTTCAAGGTCTCATATGATGAATAAGTTGCCCTCTCTCTCTCCACCACCACGATCCTTGATAGATAGTTAGAGACAGAGACAGGCAGACAGACAGACAGAGACAGGCAGACAGACAGACAGACAGACAATGGTGTACTGGAGGGTTTTATTTTATTTGAAGATAAAAATATAATGGAGGTATATTACGGGGGTGGGGAAGGTATAATGAAGGAAGTATAACAAGAGAGAGAGAGAGAGAGAGAGAGAGAGAGAGAGAGAGAGAGAGAGAGAGAGAGAGAGAGAGAGAGAGAGAGAGAGAGAGAGAGAGAGAGAGAGAGAGAGAGAGAGGAGGAGGGAGGGGAGGGAGGGAGGGAGGGAGGAGGGAGGGAGGAAAGGAGGGAGGGAGGGAGGGAGGAAAGGAGGGGGAGGAGAGAGTTGTCTCTGGCCAAGGGCTGAGAGTCTCAGTAAGTGGATTGTGATGGATCAGTGACGGCGATGACCTACCTGTCACACACACACACACACACACACACACACACACACACACACACACACACACACATTACAGGCCCTCCTCCAGGCGGTTTCCAACTTTGTTAGCTGGACGGGTTTCTTCCAAGTGGGATTGCAGACCAAGGAGGGTGTTGTGGCTATGTTGGGTCCTGGTGGGGGGTGAGGGGAGTGAGGGGTTGAGGGGGTGAGGGGGAAGGTGAAGGGGAGGTGTAGTAGTAGTAGTTTGGCTTGATCAGGTTATGTACAGATGTTTGGTTGCAGGTGACACTGGACAGGCTACACACACACAAACACACACACACACTACGACCTATTCAGTATAGTGACCGCTATTTTCTGCACTGTAAACTATATATTTTAGTCTACACACTATACATTATCTTCTGCACTATACACTCTTCTATTCACTATATAATGATGGTATTTTCCTCACTATGCACTATTCTACAATACCTGGCATCATACACACTACACCGTGCACTACACCTGCTCCCACACATTACAATAACGGTAGTGTTCAAGGCAGCCACCCAGGTAATTCACGTGTAATTGTGGTAATGCAGGAGCCCCCCCCCCCACGACCTACACAAGAAAGGAGGGGAGGGGGGGGGAAGATGGCTTACCTGTCCCAAGAGCTAAACCCGAACTACATCAAACAAACTAACCTAACCCAAGTTGACCTATAATCTAACCTGGGTAACCCAAGTTGACCTAATTCCACCCCAACCCAAGTTGACCTAATCTAACCTAATCCAAGTTGACCTAATCTAACCTAACCCAAGTTGACCTAATCTAACCTAACCCAAGTTGACCTAATCTAACCCATATCCACGTATTCATCTGTTTACTCATGTTTTTACCTATTTATTCATTTTCTCTAATTATCTCTATTTCTTGATACATATATTCGTGGTATTTATTGATTTAGTTAGGTAATAAGTTTTAACCCCGCGGTGTGTCTAGGGCTTCGTGCGCGTCACAGCTCAGAATGCGGAAGACTGTGTGTGTGTGTGTGTGTGAGAGAGAGAGAGAGAGAGAGAGAGAGAGAGAGTGTGTGTGTGTAACAATAACTACTAACAACTACCACTTTCTAATTAAATAGGTACTTAAGAGCTACTGTTTACCTCTTCCATCACACACCCTCCCGTCACACGCCTTCTGCCACGCCCCTGCCCATCACCTCTGTCACGCCCCCTTCGTCAGGTGTGTCTACCTTAATGGTGTTACAGGTGACGCTCCCCCCACAGGTAAGTGATCGTAAACAACACCTACCTGAGATGACCTGTGATGATATAAATTGACCTATGATGATCTTGTCTTGACATAAGATGATTTTGTGGTGACCTGAGATGACCTGTGATCTTGTGTTGACCCATGATGACCTAAGGTGACATATAATTGATATAAAATGACCTGAGGTGACCTTGTGTTGACTTCTACCTGACCACAGCAGTAGAATAACTTTTAATTGCTTCTTCTGATATCCCCAAAACTGTAACCTGTACCTGTAGTTGTTCCTTGTACCCTGTAGTTGTATTTGTAACCTGTAATTGCATCTGTACCTGTCTTAATACTCGTATCTGTCCTTATACTTGTACCTGTAGCCTTATACATTTAACCTTCATTATGGTAATCATTAATAAGGGCAACAAAGGTGTGGTACAGTTCATTAGTAATTACTAGGTGGAGCATGACAGGTGAGGATGGAGGACTGTCTATACACTGCCTTATGAGTCGTCGACCCCCACCACACACCTCCCTCCTCCTCCTTCACCTGAGTGTGTGGTGGGTGGAGGTAGGCGAGGGGGGAGGGGGGTTGAGGTAGTTCCTGTAGGAGGTCAGAGGTCACTGGTGTTTCCCGCCGGCAGTGTGGTTGTTAGCTTCTCACGGGCGCGGTGGTGTCATGGCCGACTCTCCCACGCACCTCCCTTCCGTATTATTACATCAACAACAACAACTACTACTACTACTACTACTACTACTACACGATGGTGGTCAGAAGCCTCAGCCACCACCACTACCTGACCTGGACCAAAGAGTGACAGTTCTGGACCAATAAGGGACAGTCCTGGACCAATGAGTGACACCCCTGGACCAATGAGTGACAGTCCTAGACCAATGAGTGACACACCTGGACCAATGAGTGACAGTCCTAGACCAACTAGTGACAGTTCTGGACCAGTGAGTGACAGTCCTAGACGAACTAATGACAGTTCTGGACCAGTGAGTGACACCCCTGGACCAGTGAGTGACACCCCTGGACCAGTGAGTGACACCCCTGGACCAGTGAGTGACACCCCTGGACCAGTGAGTGACACCCCTAGACCAATGAGTGACAGTTCTGGACCAGTGAGTGACACCCCTGGACCAGCAACACCCACAACTAACCAAGGTATAAATTCTCTCTCCTCTGAGCCTCCACCACCAGTCAGTCCTCATCACACCTCAACACAACACCTCACAGGAGCTCAGGTATACCGCACGCACAATGACCTGAAGGTGTAGCGATGACCTGAAGGTGTAATGATGACCTGAAGGTGTAATGATGACCTGAAGGTGTAATGATGACCTGAAGGTATAACGATAACCTGAAGGTGTAATGATGAACCTGAAGGTATAACGATAACCTGAAGGTGTAATGATGAACCTGAAGGTATAACGATAACCTGAAGGTGTAATGATGACCTGAAGGTATAACGATGACCTGAAGGTATAACGATGACCTGAAAGTATAACGATGACCTGAAAGTATAATGATGACCTGAAGGTATAACGATAACCTGAAGGTGTAATGATGAACCTGATGGTATAACGATGACCTGAAGGTGTAATGATCGTGGTAACTGGAGAAGTGGAGAGGTATTTTCCCGTCCAGTGATCACCGTTCTTTGAGACTGATATAATTAATGAGGTAATTTTCAGGTGGCATGATAGATTCTCAGGTAGGTGAGGTGAGGTGAGATGAAGTGAGATGAAGTGATATAATGTAAGGTGAAGGGAATCGAAATGAGGGAACAGCACCAGATAATGACCAGGTGTGCCCCTCCCCCCACAATCAACTAACTCCCAGGTAAATACAAACTATCCCTTAATGAAGACTCCACCAGGTAACTCTCTCCTCACACACCTTAATCACAATCCTTTCACTATATCCAACAAAAATCACAATATTAACCTGTATGACAAATTAAACCTGACTAAACCTAACGTATGATATTTAATTAAACCTCACGTATGATAGTAATAAACCTACCTTAAATTATCATAACTTAAACCAAATCTAATCTCCTATGACGTGGTGAAGTTAATTCTTTCTCTGTCACGTGAGGTCCTAGATGTCTCCCTCCCTCCCTCCCTCCCTCCATACTGTCAGTCATCGTCCTCCCTCCCTCATTATCCCTTACCCTCACCTTCATCGTCCTCCTCCCTCCTTCCCTACACAGTCATCGTCCATCCTCCCTCTCTCTCTCCATCCCTCTTGTGTGTGTGTGTGTTGTTCTGGCCCCCGTGACCCGTAATTAAGGCATCACCATATAAATCCTTCACCAATATTACAACCTGGTTATAAAACGCACCTGAGTTATCATCCCATTGTTGGCCCAGGGGAAAAACAAACACATTATATCATCCTCTGCCTGGGAATCAAATTTGTCTGGCTGTCTGTTTGTCTCTTCCTGTCTGTCTGTCTGTCTCTCCCTGTCTGTTTGCCTCTTGTTATCTCTTTGCCTGTCTCTTCCTGTCTGTTCGTTTGTCTGCCTCTGTCTATCTCTCTTCCTGCCTTACTACTCTCTCTTCCTGTCTGCCCATCTGTCTGTCATTATCCATCGACCAAAACACACACACACACAATAATATCTGTTAATCACACACACACCTGTAATCACAAGGAGAGGTGCTGGGAAGGTGTGCATAAATAAGACACCATAATTCGCTTCTTTATATACCTTGGTACCAAACATACTGACACATAGGTAGAATAGGTAGATGGTGGGTATAGCACAGGTAGATTGGGTATAGCACAGGTAGATTGGGTTTAGGACAGGTAGATTGGGTTTAGCACAGGTAGATTGGGTATAGCACAGGTAGATTGGGTATAGCACAGGTAGATTGGGTTTAGGACAGGTGGATTGGGTTTAGCACAGGTAGATTGGGTTTAGCACAGGTAGATTGGGTTTAGGGACAGGTAGATTGGGTGAGTAGGACAGGTAGATTGGGCATAGCACAGGTGGATTGGGTATAGCACAGGTAGATTGGGCTTAGGACAGGTAGATTGGGTATAGCACAGGTAGATTGGGTATAGCACAAGTGTAGATTGGGTAGTACAGGTAGATTGGGTATAGCACAGGTGGATTGGGTTTAGGACAGGTAGATTGGGTATAACACAGGTAGATTGGGTTTAGGACAGGTAGATTGGGTATAGCACAGGTAGATTGGGTTTAGGACAGGTAGATTGGGTTTAGGACAGGTAGATTGGGTATAGTACAGGTAGATTGGGTTTAGGACAGGTAGATTGGGTTTAGCACAGGTAGATTGGGTATAGCACAGGTAGATTGGCTTAGGACAGGTGGATTGGGTTTAGCACAGGATTGGGTATGGCACAGGTGATTGGGTGACAGCACAGGTAGATTGGGCTTGCACAGGTAGATTGGGTTTAGGGACAGGTGAGATTGGGCTTAGCACAGGCAGATTGGGTATAGCATGTAGATTGCTTAGGACAGGTAGATTGGGTATAGCACAGGTGGATTGGGTATAGCACAGGTAGATTGGGCTTTCTAGGTGGACAGGTAGATTGGGTATAGGACAGGTAGATTGGGTATAGCACAGGTAGATTGGGTATAGCACAGGTAGATTGGGCTTGAAAATAGGTGGATTGGAAGCTCATACCAGGTAGATTGGGTTTAGGACAGGTAGATTGGGTTTAGCACAGGTAGATTGGGTATAGCACAGGTAGATTGGGTTTAGGACAGGTGGATTGGGTATAGCACAGGTAGATTGGGTTTAGCACAGGTAGATTGGGTTTAGGACAGGTGGATTGGGTATAGCACAGGTAGATTGGGTATAGCACAGGTGGATTGGGTATAGCACAGGTAGATTGGGTTTAGGACAGGTAGATTGGGTTTAGCACAGGTAGATTGGGTTTAGGACAGGTAGATTGGGTTTAGGACAGGTAGATTGGGTTTAGCACAGGTAGATTGGGTATAGCACAGGTAGATTGGGTTTAGGACAGGTGGATTGGGTATAGCACAGGTAGATTGGGTTTAGCACAGGTAGATTGGGTTTAGGACAGGTGGATTGGGTATAGCACAGGTAGATTGGGTATAGCACAGGTGGATTGGGTATAGCACAGGTAGATTGGGTTTAGGACAGGTAGATTGGGTTTAGTACAGGTAGATTGGGTTTGGACAGGTGGTTGGGTATAGCACAGGTAGATTGGGTTTAGGACAGGTAGATTGGGTATAGTACAGGTGGATTGGGTTTAGCACAGGTAGATTGGGTATAGTACAGGTGGATTGGGTTTAGCACAGGTAGATTGGGTTTTAGGACAGGTAGATTGGGTATAGGACAGGTAGATTGGGTATAGTACAGGTGGATTGGGTTATAGTACAGGTGGATTGGGTATAGCACAGGTAGATTGGGTTTTAGGACAGGTAGATTGGGTATAGTACAGGTGGATTGGGTTTAGCACAGGTAGATTGGGTATAGTACAGGTGGATTGGGTATACTTGGGTAGATTGGGTTTAGGACAGGTAGATTGGGTATAGGACAGGTAGATTGGGTATAGCACAGGTAGATTGGGTATAGTACAGGTGGATTGGGTTTAGCACAGGTAGATTGGGTTTAGGACAGGTAGATTGGGTATAGTACAGGTGGATTGGGTATGCATATAGATTGGGTTTAGGACAGGTAGATTGGGGTTAGAACAGGTAAATGATAGGTTGAGTAGGTTGATTTATACCACAATTAGAGTAAAGGTAGGTGAGGAGGAGCAGGTTGAGGTGGTAGCCCTCCGTCGGCGCCTCTCTCAGAGAAGTTGTTACAGGAATAGTGAGGTTAAAAAAAATATATGCTTCCTTCTCCCACACACACAGGTATGTTTATAACACCTTTCTTACCTGTATACAATGGCGCCCTCCTCACTCCCACGCCACTCTCACTTATTCTCTCTCTCTCTCTCTCTCTCTCGTACGATATTCATACAACTCCCTATACTGTATACCTATAATCCAAACGTGGCCTCCAGCCCCCCAATAGCCACACCTTCGTACCATTTATTTACCTTAATATTAAATATCCTAATACATAAGAAGCTATCCTATCTGTGTTAAATTAGTTGAGCCGCAGATCTATGCGGCATTCAGTGACTGTAGCCTCATAGTCAATATCTGCAGCAGTTGTCGGAGTAGGAGCAGAAACTCTCGTTCCTATAATCTATAATCCATGACAACTCTCTATATATACAACTCTCTATAACATTTCTCCCGCCCTCCATCACATCTTTGTTTGGGCGTCGCCTTGAAGTTGTGTCCTTGTGTTTATGCTTGACACCTTCACTACGAGACGCCATTTTTAATATTTGATTTGACCAGATGATTTTATTCAGCACAGAGAGACACAGGGGTCAATCTAGTCTAATCTAACCATAACCTAATCTAACTTAACCTAACCTAACTTAAACTAAACCTAACCTAACCTAATTAGCATAATCAGACGGTAGAGGGAGTGGCGGTGTCCTTGGGTGAACCGTGTTTGTATACATGGTGGCGGTGCTGCCCTCTGACGGCGACACTCGTCACCTCCTCCAGGGTAAACACAGACCAATGTTGACAACTGCATGCAGGTGTAGCTGGCACACCTCACACACCTCCAACACTACCACCAACACTACCACCTACTCTTTCTTCCGTCCAAATACATAACCACCAGAATCACACACCTGTCTGCCTACTACATACACCACACACCTGTTATAAACACCCTGCGACTTACCAAACATTAAATAACACACCTGTCTGCCCACTACCTACACCACACACCTGTTATATACACCCTTCAACTTTACATACACATAACACACCTGTCTTCCTCCTGACCGCATCACACACCTGATGACATACCTGAAATAGAAATAAAATACTTGAGGAAATTGACCAAATATATACCTTCATACGATAAGAGTCATTATAGAGAATTTTACTATAATTCACAAAAATGTAAATAAAGATTAGAAATGATACATAAATTATAGGAAAGGAGATAATTATATAAAGTCTCTTCAGGAAAATTCAGATTGACAGAAACATGACAAAAAAACAGGTTATAAAATGGAAGGTTTTAAGTGAGGTCAGGGGGTCAACTTTTACGCTAGGGGTCACCTGTAGTAAGGCCAAAGGGGTTACACGTCACATGTAAACACACACACACACACACACACAGTAGTAGTCAACCCCTCGTGTGTACCTCACTTCCTACAACAGGGGGTGTGTGTGTGGGGGGTAGACGGGGTG